GCCTATAGTCCCAGCTACTTGGGAGGCAGAGGCAGGAGAATTGCTTGAGCCCAGGAGTTGGAGGCTGCTATGAGCTGTGATGCCACAACACTCTACCCAGGGTGATAGCTCGAGGCTCTGTATCAAAAAAAAGAAAAAGAAAAAGAAAAGAAATGTCTACTACCTCCCCCTCTTCCTCCCAGTATCATTACTTAGGTCCTTTTCAGCTAGCAAGACAAACACCCAACACCTCAACCAGGATGCTCAGAAACCAGAAGGGACAGCAGGACCAAGGGCAAAGACAAGTGCTGTGAGAGGCCATAATTGAGGGTAACCTCGCCTTCAAGCTCCCCTCTCCCTCTTGAGGGCCCTGAAGTCTGCACCTTGGCCCTGGGCTGTCTCTGCCATTAGAGGGGGTGGGGGTGCAGAGTCTCACTATGTTGCCCTCACAGCTCACAGCAACCTCAAACTCCTGGGCTTAAGCAATTCTCTTGCTTAAGAGGCTTAAGCCTCCCAAGTACCTAGGACTACAGGCACCCACCACAACACCTGGCTATTTTTTTTGTTGCAGTTGTCATTGTGGTTTAGCAAGCCTGGGCTGGGTTCACACTCACCTGCCCCAGTGTATGTGGTCAGCACTCTTAACTACTGACCTACAGGCACCAAGCCTGTCTCTGCCATTTTGGATTTCCTGTCTGGGGGGTAAATTAGGGACTCTGGGTCAGGGTTTGAGCTTTTCAGATGGAATAGATAACCGATGATTTAAGGAAGAAAAACTATAAAGTCAGTGGAGACCTTGAGCTATGTATTTAGCTTACTAGGGAGAGAATATTTCAATAACAGAATAATATGGAAAGGGATGCCACAAAAATCTATTTTCCTTTGTGAGAATTATAACCCAATAAGGAAATAGAAGAGTTGAAGTAGTCCCTTAAGTAGGAAGCAAATATTATATCGATAAAACTAATGTATGGAAAGATGGCACAGTGAAATCTAATGAGAGATTTTCCTTGGCATGGGATTTTGTTGGGATGGTTTTTTTTTTTTTTTTGTCTCACTTTGATGCCCTTGGTAGAGTGCTGTAACGTCATAGCTTACAGCAACCTCAAACTCTTGGGCTCTTGCTTCAGCCTCCCAAGTAGCTGGGACTACAGGCTATTTTTAGAGACGGGGGTCTCACTCTTGCTCAGGCTGGTCTCAAACCTGTGAGCTTAGGCAATCCACCAGCCTTAACCTCTCAGAGTGCTAGAATTATAGGCCACCTCAGCCAGGCCGTTGGGATGGGTTTTTGTTCTTTCTTTTCCTTTTCCTTTTTCCTTCTCTTTTCTCTCATTCCTTCCTTCTTCTCTCCCTCTTCCCCCTCCCCACTTCTCTTTTTCTTTTTTACCTTTGATAGAGCCAGCAAGATATGCCTTTCGGGCATCAAAGTCCTTGCTAAGGAAAGAGCCATTTTCTTCACTCTGACATATCCCCTTTGTGAGAACTGCAATGTAACTCTCCATCATTTTAACTGGGCTCCCATGTTTCAGATATATTCTGTAAGGAGGACAAAAAAGAAACCATGCTTTTATTTGGCATGAACCACATGGAGAAATGTACCAAGGCTGGGCATACATACTTTCCAAAGATTCTTAAAGCCAACTTACTAATATACTTCTGAATGCTTGAATCTTTTCATGACATGTATTACTTCTCTAGTTTAATTCAAAAAGATACTTAAAAGAAAAAAAAAACTTTAAAGAGACCTGCCACAATTCCTTGAAGTCAGCTCACTTCTTACATCTGGAGTAGTTTGCCAGAATCTTGAAGGCAAGAGAACGAACTTTGGACTTTCTGAGGCCCCATGATTCTCAGGAAAATCACATACTTCACCTCTTTCTATGACTCACATTCACTACTGGTGTTCTTAGTCATACAACTCTGTTTTATTGCTGGAATTTCCTTTGACAAGAAGTTTTATGCATTGTTCACAGAGAAAGCAATAATTAGTGGTAGAACCCATGCTTATTAAAAGAGTTCCCAGAGGTAGCTATATTTAGATAATTAAAAAATCAAAACTCTTTAAAGTTTCTGGTGATAAATGCACATTAGACATTTATCATCAAGTTGAAGCGTCCAGAAAATGCTGACAGGAAACTGGGCGCATTTATAGCTCACATGTGGAGTCGCTCTCTTCCCCTTGACATGTCTTCCTATGAGCAACTAAAACCAAATTTTGCTTAAGAAACATGACTGGGTCTACCTGGGCCTTTCAGCAGCTGATGGGATAGAAAATTCAGAAGAAAATAAAATTGATGTTTAAGACAGATCACTTGAAAATTATACGTATTGTAGATTTAGTGGAGAAAAAAAACCAAATATATATATATATATTTTTGAGACAGAGCCTCAAGCTGTCCCCCTGGGTAGAGTGCCGTGGCATTACAGCTCACAGCAACCTCCAACTCCTGGGCTCAAGCGAGTCTCCTGCCTCAGCCTCCCAAGTAGCTGGGACCACAGGCGCCTGCCACAACGCCTGGCTATTTTTTGGTTGCAGCTGTCATTGTTGTTTGGCGGGTCTGGGCTAGATTTGAACCTGCCACCTTAGGTGTAAGTGGCTGGAGCCTTAGCTGGTTGAGCTACAGGCGCCGAGCCAAAAAACAAATATTTTAACTGTTACCAAATTTCATCAATCAGCAGTGTTTTTTATTATTTCAACCCACAAATTGAGGGGGGAAAAGGTAGACAACAACAAATACGGTAAGTTCTTATTTATGTAAAATACGTTCTAAGCCGTGAACTCACACATAGGCTTCCATAGGAGAAAGATCTCTAGTAGGATATAAAGGACATAGACATCACAGGAGTTGCATGGGAGTGGGGGTTGAGAGGTATTACTAGAGGCTGGGGGGGGGGCTGTGTTGTTACTGTATACTCTTCTGTATTTTTCTTATTATGATTATATGCTTTATTACCATCAAGAAAAAAAATAAAATGCCATTAGCATTATAAAATACAAATAATATACAGTAATGGAGAAGAGAAACATAAGGTTTGTGGAACAAGATGATTTCCACATGACAATCCTGGCCATGAGAGGTGGAAGAGTGATCCCCAAACTACTCCACAAAAAAAAGCTCCCCAAGGCCTGGCACAATGGCTCATGCCTGATATCCTAAGACTCTGGGAGGCTGAGGCGGGTGGATTTCTTGAGCTCACGAGTTCGAGACCAGCCTGAGCAAAAAGTAAGATCTTGTCTCTACTAAAAAATAGAAAAACTGAGACAAGAGGATCGCTTGAGCTCAAGGGTTGGAGGTTGCTATGAGCTATGATGGCACAGCACTCTACCCAGGGTTACAGCTTGAAACTCTTATCTCAAAAAAAAAAAAAAAAAAAAAAAAAAAAGAAAGAAAAGAAAAGAAAAGCCCCACAACTCAGAAGACTTTGTTCAGACAGACACCCACAGGCTGCCACACCTGTCCTGGACAGCTGATTCCAAGTGTGCATGAAACCCTATATAAACTTTTTCTCATAAAAGGAAGAGTATCAACAAGGCAGAAGACAAAGTCCTTTAAGAAATGGTCTTAGGGCTCAGCACCTGTAGCTCAAGTGGCTAATGTGCCAGCCATATACACCGGAGCTGGCGGGTTTGAATCCAATCTGGGTCTGCCAAACAACAATGACAACTATGATCAAAAAAATGGCCCGGCGTTGTGGTGGGTGCCTGTGGTCCTGGCTGCTTGGGAGGCTGAAGCAAGAGAATTGCTTAAGCCCAGTTGAAAGTTGCTGTGAGCTATAATGCTACCACATTCTACCCAGGGCGACAGCTTGAGGCTCTGTCTCAAAAAAAAAAGAGAAATAGTCTTGGAAAGGTCATTAAAGATTAAGCCAGGGAGACAGAGGGCTGAAATTTGCTTTCTCTGCAGAAATCTGTTATGTAACTATTGACTAATATCTTCATTATTGTACATTAGCATTTAATACAATTTTCATACAGACCTACACAATATCCTAGTGAAGGCGGCATATTTCTCTGGGTTAAAATCTTTGGCGGTCAGAACAATAGAAAAATGAGTCACCTGTCCAAAAGAAACAAACAAAGTATAATTTTTGAAGACACTTTAATAGAAATAGTATTTATTACTATATTCTAACAAATTTCTTATACAAAACATAGCAGTATTAAAATGAAAAGACCAAAATGTCAGAAGTCCTCACTTGCGTCTTTACCCTTTTGTATGTGTATTATGTGTTTATATATACAAGTATATTTAATTTCCTAATAAGCAATATTTTAGAAAATAATTTTTTAAAACAAAAATACTTCACCCAAATATAAAAAATTTGAGTTTCTAACTAAACGTCCCCTAATCTCATCAAAGCAGATTTAGGATTACTAAATCAGACCTCTGAATTTAGCCGTTCGAAATACCATTTTTTTTTTTTTT